GTACAATTTTTTCATGTTCGAGAGAACTATACATATATCGTTATTATTGTTAATATTATAACAGAAATAACTTAAAAAATGGAGCGCTTAACTATAATTATTTTATCATGCAATTATAGTCACAAATACCAAAGTTTACTCTCAATGTATCTTTTTGAGACTTATAAAAATTAATTAATCAGTGATATATCATAAACTATAAAAAAGAAAATATATATCCAGATTGAGTGAACATACGGATATCTTGTTCGCGCAATTCACCGGTCGTAGTTTTACGTATTGATACGTTTTACGGACCGACTAAGAGAGGCTTGCGATAGCCTCCGCGAAGGGTAGAGGGTTAAAAGAGTCCACGCAAACATCTCGTACATTATACGAAATTTCCACCCCACGGAAACCAGCCAATAAAACACCCCCGGAACACGTCGTCCACTCGTTCTCCCTCTCTTCGTGTGCCTATAACTGCATTGTCCAAGTTTTTTTTCGTTTTTTTCTCCTCGGCGACGTTCATCCTCGTTCTCTTTCTTCATTCGTTCTCCTCCACCACCCTCTCTTCGTCCTCCTCCACCTCCTTTGTCGTTTTGTATTTTTCCTTTTTTTTCCTGGGTTCTCGAAGAGCGCGCACACCCCCTCGATTACATTCGGAAATATTAGGGGACGTCCCGTCGCTCGACAAACTATCAATTTATTTTTGTCTATTGATTGGCATGGCTTCGGCGTGATACACTGACCCTGCGAAATTTGTATCTTCTCGTATGCATCTTCATGATGCTCGCGCTTCGAGATGTAGTTTAATATTCGATAATTTAAACGAACCGTTCTGTGCAATGTGCTATCATATAAATAACGATTATTTATAATATATCATTAGTTTTATAATAATTTTCGTTGAACTGAAAAAAATATCTACTAAAAGTATAAGAGCTAAAGACTGATGTGGCATAAATAACAAATATTTCTAAAGATAGAGTTTGACTAAAAGTTTATTAGGTCAGATCTTGATTTCGTGCACTAAGCGTGCAGTAAAACATGCTCCTTGCCAACCGCGGTAGGTACGTAGAGTAAAAGTCGGTGGACTATGTCCAAATCTATAGATTACGGCTGGTCATATAAATCATGGATTCGGGCTCAGTAGCGGGTTGAATGTTATCTCCCGCTTCCGGTTCGGCGCACCGCCGACATTTCGCGCACATCGCCGTTCGCGCTCGGAATATTCTACGTGTGGGGACAGTTTCGTTTTGTACACAGCAGCAGGAGAAATCGCCACAAAGCATATGCTGCCCGCTGTCCACTCCATTTACCTCGCTACATCATCCGCCGTGATGCGGGACGGAGAGATAAGGGACGCGGAGGGAAACCCTTTGTATCGTCCTGTTCCGATAGAAGTGGAGCAGCGATAGATATTCCTAAGTGCATCCTAATTTATGTCTCACACGGTTCATATACTTGCAATACAATATACGAGATGACCTGCGATCTTCGTGTTAATGAGGTTCTTTAAATTTAGAAAAATTTTATTCTGTCAAAAATTGAGACACTAATAATTATTATGTATTAAGCATAAAAAACGCCTTTTTGCACTTTATATTTTATAGGACCAAATCGATCAGAAAACAATATTTTACAATTTTTAGTAAATTTTTATTGATAATTTTAATTTAATATTAAAAATTATCTTACGCACACAGATATAATTGTGATAAGTAATAATTCCCGTGCAATATTTTTGCTAAGAAAAAAATTAATCTCTCAAATTGATAAAAGAATCTATTAAAATTAAGCTTGTGATTATTATAAATTTTCAACTTTCTCTGTAATATCTACTTCACATTCCAGTTTTAAATTATAAAAAAGATAAAACATACATCTATAAATAGATAGTTAAATATAATTTATTCATATATTTAATAATAGATTATTAAATATAATTTAAATTGTAGTAAATAAAAATTTTCATGACGGATTATCGCTTGATAATTCGTAGATATAGGCAATACTTATTTTGGCATATTATCATTTTTTTGCGAAACTCAACTGATTAATAAAATTCCCCGGAAGATATCGATCGTGTTTTACACGACTACAATCGGATTAGATATTGCGATTGGAGGTCGATTATTTTAATCGCAAAAGGAAATTATAAGATAAGAAATTTAAATTTTCTATCAATTTCTTGTCGATTGAGTGCACGTATGTGGCGTCATAATGCAAATAATACAAAGTTTTTCTCTGGGGGTCGCAGAAGTCAAACGTGATCCCCATCGAGACTCGATGGGGCGCCCTCAGGAAATCTAAACCGGTAACAAGATGGCTGCTCGGAAACGGAAACCGGAAGCTTGTCACTCAAGCTACGCGGACTTCCGGCGTGTCCCGAAAAAAGGGAAGCGGTTCTAGAACGGTCGAGGAAAAGGAGGAAAAAAGAGAAAGAGAGAGAGAAAAGAATGATATTGTTTCAAATGTATTGTTTCATTATATTCTCTACTAAAAGAAACAATACGATATTACAGTGGAATCTTTACATCTTCTGCCATGTTTTTTATATTAATTATATTTGTAAATGATGCAAAGAAAATTATTTTTGCTGTTTAAAATTTTCTAACAGAATTTATGTAACATATTATTAATATTGAAACAAAGTAATTATTATAAAACCAAAGTAATTATTATACTTTGATATTAAGAATCTCGTATTGATTGAGAGTAATCATTTATTAAAAAACTTTAAAATTTATTTAAAAAACTTTTACATGGCAGAATATGAATCTTAAATCTCTCTTTGATTCTTTTTTTTAAATACGTTTTCTTCTTTTAAAGAGATGGGAGAGAGAGGGGGAGGGAGAGGAGGACATGGATTATTTTTCTGTGATAAAATTGATAAGAAGAAACAAACAGTGAAAATTTGATATCTTAAGACCCAGATTTATTAAATATGCTTCTGATATATTAGTTTATTATATATTATACACAATTTACATATATACAATTAATCTACAACTAATTAATTAAGGACGAAACATTGGATACTCTTGCGATTACTCGCAATGTTAGGGCCTCGCATATATTCTCTGATTACTGTAGTATCATAGCAAACATTACTACATCCTGAAACATCACTATATCGGTATAGTACAGGTATATTATTTTAAGATTCAAATATTTTAAATTTAAAAGTAACGATTTACAAGGTTCTTTCTCTCATTCTAATATCGACAAAATGTTGCTCTTGTACCAAAGTCCTTTTCGTTTTAATCAAACTTTTAATACTTTTTAAATGCGTATGTATATAACGAAATTATTAACGAAGCTGAATTTATTCCGACAAAGATTTAGCTATAAAAATTCCGTACATTTTATATATTCCGAAAATTAACCTCTGTTTCCTTTTTTACGAAAATCTTCTATAAGAAATAAAAAATATCGGAAAATATAGAATCATAAAATTATACAGCTATCTTACAGGTATAGAATTTTATCTGGAAAATCTTGCAAAATGTCATATATGAGAATTCTTTGATGATATGAAGAAAAACCGTGCACAGTTTACATTAGCTATGTGTGTAAATCGTGAAGAAATGTCTATATCGTAAAAATTTTTCGACGATCGAATTAGCGGATCACAATTGAGCCACGAATCGATCTGTTGTGGCAGTAATCCATCTTCGTGTGATTTACTATCGTTCCGCCATGAATGCTTATAGCGTTTTTCACACACATTGGCAGAACTAGTGCGCACTCAGTGCACATTAAAGCTGTTGTACACTATTCTAATCTAAATGTAAAAGTGGGATATCTTAATTGATAAAATGTCCAATATGTATTTTATCAAATAGCACAATAAAATGTATTAAGTATTTTACGGTTTTTAATTCATTTCTATATTTTTATTAAATGTACATCTTTATGTTGATTTGTGTACAACGGCTTTAAACTGTACTGAGTGCGCTCTAGTTCTGCCAATGAAAAACGCTATTAGTTATACGATATCAAGTTAGACGACGTTATGCGTTTTATGATTGGAATTCCTTGCACTTATAGGATATTCTTTCTCGTGACACACGCTTTAAGGACTAATTTAAAATCTACATACGTGAGTCATTGTAAAGTGTAACAGTTTTGTACAAATATTTTATTTCGTAAGAACGCAACATCGGTATCGTCTAAAATTTCTCTACGCGTTTTTCTTACATTTATAATTATTTATAACTATTTATTTATAATTATTTACCTATTCACGTCAAACTAATTCATTAGACGTGAAAGTGATCTTTGGTTTCTGACAATATTCGTTACTGTCTCTAATTCCTTTATAAATATCAACACTTGTATAAAGTTTCAAATGGTCACGGTCCTGGATTTTAATTATCTTCCGTTGAAGAAATATAAGCTTGCGGAATTATGAGATTTATCTCTAACTTCGTTGAACTATTTTCCGACGCGACGTTAAATCTTTCGCGCTTGCTTGTACCTTTAATGATAAAGTTTTGTCAATTATCGAATTTATCGGTATCAACAGTTTGAAGTAAAGTTTACTTCAAATTGTACATAATCATGTATACGTATTAAAGCTACGTATTACGTCATACATGAATATAACTAATATATCGCGAACTTCGCTCGTCTTGAGGAACATTAAAATTCCATTGTAATATTTTTTTCAGAATATAATCGTATATAAGTAGATCAATTAACTCATTATAGTTCTTTGTTATTATATTTTATGTGCGAGATATACTCACCTATAACTGTTTATGCGCTACATTCCTTTGCGCATATTTATAAAAATAATAAAATATTTACCGAAAATATATCAATTTAACAAATATTTATCGTAAAACATTTTCTAATTTTCATTTTTTAGCGTCACGAAAAAAGTTGAGAGACATTGAATGAAAGATATATTGAAAGAAAAAGTTTAAAAATTTGTATAAGAAAATTTTCAAATTCATTCAATTTTGAAATATCTTTCTAGGAATTTAGTGACTGATTTTAGTTCAGCTTTGGGTTCGTTGGACGCGTGTGTTAAACACTCTCGTAAAACTTGTTCCGTAAAACATCGTAAGTCAAGCAATTTTACTTTGAGAAGTCCGATTGTATACGTTTCTCGAAATACACCTGATGATTAAACACGTTGTCAAACTTAGAAATGGTTCAGCTTTTCATTTCATTACATGTCTATGTCTGTAATTACGTTCAAGAGGAGATATGCACGAGAAGTTGAACTTAAGAACTAATGTTCCAAAATTTATTCCGTTAATTATTTCCAACTAATACTTGTTAACTAGTTTATTTATTTCTTCGTTGACGATAATATCGACGATGTCGTCGATGATATCGAATTCATATTTATTGTTACTATCGCATTATCACGAACCTTCTAACACTTTAACATGTTCAACATCACTGCTATAAGATTATTCATACCTTCCATCTTGAATTTCTTCTTCATCTTTCTTCGTTCTCTTCGTTTACGACTTCTTGTTCACGACAATATTTTAATCGGGAATTGCAATATTGTTTCGCAATAATGATCGATCAGCGTGAATCGCCACAGATTGCTCTGGATTGTTTTATCCTAGTTCAGTTCAGTTAACTACTTTACCACCAATATTTCTGTGGTATATATGGCGCCATAGGGACCTGGCCGCTTCCGGGATATGCAGTAGGTTCCATCAGCTTGGATTGGCAGGGTTTGCCATCTCTCACTAGCACTGGCACGGCGACTCTTCTGGGTGAGCAGCTGCTGCCGCCGGCTTCAACACGTTCACTCGCCGCCCTCTTCGTCTTGTACCTGTGATTCTGGAACCAGATCTTCACCTGAGTTGGCGTAAGGCGAATGATAGAGGCCAAGTGCTCTCGCTCGGGCGCGCTCAAATAACGCTGCTGACGGAAACGTCGCTCTAGCTCGTAAGTCTGTGCCTTGGAGAAGAGCACGCGTCGCTTGCGCTTCTTATGCTCGGTCTCGTGGGGTTGCGACGTCTCGTTGCCAGTCTGTTGCTCGTCCTCAAAGTCCTGTGACTCTTCGTCCTTCGATGACTCGTGACTGTTCTCCTGTTGTGACGGGAACGACAAATCCGAGATCGCCGGGCTCGTCGAGTCCGGTTGTTGAAGAACTGGAAAAGTAAAGAAAAAAAGAAATTAAGATGATATTTTTTTGTATTTTAAAAGATTCTTGTTTTCGCATTCTTTTCTAATTGATATTAATTTTCATAAAGTATTATTTGTAGAAAAATTACATTTTTTTAACATAATGTGATATATTATTAAAAAAAAATTTTTTTTGTAATTAATTAAATTAACCTTTTTATGCACTTTTCCGTGAATTATATTTACGTAGATCGTTGATGTAGTCATCCAAATACATAGTTAGAGTGACGCAGAAGTATAGTGTTTAGTAATCAACCGACTCAATTACTTGATTGACGTTAACGAACTGCAGCTGCATTTCGATTCAGCCGACATCATCGATTGCTCTTAGCGTTGATTACCGGCAGATGCCAGCTTGCATTGATTTTTTAATAGTTCATCTAATCGCACTTTATTCTAATCGCAATTAGACAGTTAACTCTCGTAATCTGAATTTATCCTGAGTTAAACTTGATATGGAAGTTTTTTTCGGATATAAATTTTTCTTTCCATCCCCCTTTTTTAGATATAAATTTTTCTTTCTACAATATGTCTTTTATTTCAATACCTAAACTTTCGTTTCATGACGCTAAATAATGAGAGAATTTATTTAATTAGTTATGAAAATAAAAGAGATTGAATATACAAACTGTTATTATAATTCACGATTTAACGCGACATAATGAAAGATTAAATTTAAACAATACGTAAAATATGAAACGATGATGAGGCAAATGTCATTTCGCTGACACGGTAATTATGGTACGAGAAATATACATACAATAACTTTATTTAGCGAAGTGTGGGTAAATGTTACGACCTGGCCGAGATACTAGCTAATTTCGTGTACAACGTCGGGATACTGGCTTTCGTTGTAGTACAATATGCTTTTGTGAGCGACCCCTGAAACCCGCTTGGGGAGGGTGTGAACCAATATAAAGCCTATTTGATACCCCTGCTGGACCCCATGGGATCAACCATATCATTTTCATGGGAGATTAGATCGTGCTCGCAGTCGTACTGTGATTTCAATTAAATATTCGCCGCCGACTAATGTCTCCAAAGGAAGCTACGCGATGGCGACGAAGGAAGGAATGACGCGTTCTCTTTACTTATCAAAAATGAGTCTTTCCTGACTTCAGCTTCTTGTTTATATACACAATTTACCATTCGTATCTTATAATAATTTACTATATTAATAATTCAAGTTATTATAATTTATAGTATAATTTTTTCATATTTGAGAGAACTATACATATAAGGTTATTATTACTAATATATTATCTATAATAATAATCATAAAACCTCCTAACCATAGTTTTTTAACCATATAATTATAGTTACAAGTATCAAATACTTTACTCTCTGTGTATATACAGTTGCTATTATTTGCACTTGAACTTGTTTGTCGAGGAATTTAGTGAGGAGAGTAGATCAATTTAGATTTAATCCAATCTCTTTCTTAATATGAAAATAGAGATAGAAGAAATTTTACATTTTCATACTCTGTTTGAAATTCTAATTATAACAAATTTAATGTGACGGACGATGAAAGAATCTAACATGAGTCTAGCTCGTACAATTTTCCAAGATTGATTAGGCTGGGATATTTGACTCCGTCTAAACTTTTTATAAATCAGCTTCGAGAGAATTCAGTGTAATACGCTATCCACTGAACAATGTAAACGTCTGATATAAAAGAGATCCACTCAATCGTGCTTCTCCCCTCTTTATCTGCTACAGGACCGCAATTATTCGCGCGTGATGCGTTTCTCAACGGTTTGACACGTTGCCTGAATTTTTCGCTAGTGCAAATCGTGGCTACGGAAAAAGGAGACGGCAACGCGGGATAGGTCGTCGACGAATTTTTTGGGCGTGACGATACCGATTCATTTGGGGGGTCGGAGACACGGGACCCCTCTCTCGCATCTGTCCCCGACTCAACATCTGTCCTCTTTCGCGGACCAATCGCTATGCGGTACCCACGAGGACCTTTTACAGAACCATTAGATCCTGCTTAACCCTCACGGACCAATTGTAGGGTGCTAAATAAATAAGGGTTTCTATCTCACACCCCCTTCCCCGTCCGCCCGCAAAAGCGCGTGTACGTTCTTTCTGCTGCGCATCAGTGAGGAATGGGGTGAGAAAACTTGCGCCTTAAACAATAATGCAGCGATCGAAGACGATCAGATCTAATTCCTTAGGGTGTGAGTGATTTGGATAATGCAGTTAAAATAATTTATTTATTACGCGCATTTTCTTTAAAAGATTAATTTCTTGGAGTGAAATCTCACTCCAAAAGAATGAAAATACTGCACTATTGAAAAAGAGTGAAAATATATATACTCTTGAATAAGAGTGACAGATTTTTTGGAATGAGATTTTAATCTTTTGGAGTAAGATTTACTTTAAAAAATGAGTAAATCTCACTCTCAAAGAGTGAAATTTCATCTCAAAAAGGAGTGAAAATTTGCCACTCTTATTCAAGAGTGGAAATATTTTCGCTCTTTTTCAATAGTGAATATTTTCATTCTTTTCACTGAGAGAAATGTTTGATATGGAACCAAAGTTTTGTTACTGACACAAAAACTATTTATCGATATATGACCAATTAAATCGTTGGTTACTACGACGATATTAATTTGTTGAATTTACTAAATGAACTTATAATTTTATGATACAAAACTGTTTTGTATGATGTATAGATCTTTTATGTAGTTAGAAATAGAACATTTTATTATCGGAACAAAACAATTACATAAAAATAATATATAACTCTCACTTTCTACAGAGTGAAATTATGTTTGACATTTTTGAACTTCCTTAGCTTAGCAAAAGTATACAATAGATTTAAATTTTTAATTACTAATCGCTCTGAAAAAATGGTTGTTACTATAATTGGCCATGATGTAGCGAGAGCTGAGAAATGCACGAAATTAGTCTATAATTATCCCGGCTTTATACAGGTAGATGTCGAATTTCTCTTACGAGAAGACAGGTCATCTCTGACAGCTCCGCGAAACACTCCTCATTCTACCATAGTGAATTATTTTGTTGAAATTACTAAAAGAATACTTATATTATAATGGCAATCAAATTTTACATTGTTATTTGCAAAACATAAGTAACCAAATAAATTTGAACTGTTAAATAAAAAAATTTTATTCATCTAACAAAAAAATATTTTGCTATTTTAACAAAATAATCTAATGATAATCAGCCACTTGTAAATAATTATCTTTTTTTTTACCGTTACTATATCTTTTTTCTCAGTGTTGAAGTGAAATGTCACTCCAAGAAATTTAGAAAGAATAATTATTTCTTAGTACAATTAAATACACTTTCAAAATTATGCGATGGATTTTAATAATTTTGCTGCCGCGTATGCCCCCGGTTTGTAAACAATTAAATAAAGAATAATTGTATTTGTTCGCTCTCACCATTCACCTCCTCCAAGGGTTGAGGTAATGTTGTTGGTAGTGCCGGTCCAGTTGGCCATCCTAATAATCCAGGTGGAGGCGGTGGTAGTGTACCCCTATTCAGATTAGCGTGCATAGGTTGCAACATGGCGGTTGTGTGCTCCAGAAATTGCTGGTAAGCCGACGGCATGTCGGTAGCCGTTGGTAAAACCGTCGTGGTACCTAGAACACAAAATTATAGTAAATTTATTAATTTTTTTCTTTTACACTCAAGTATAAATGTGCGTAGTAAAGAAATTTCTAAAACTTCGAAATTTTTCTGATTTTAAAATTACATTAATTTAATTAAGGTGAATTTTTTTTATAAAATTAATATATTCATATTTTAAAATAATAAAAACTGTACTATTTTATAAATTTTGTCAGTTCTAACTTGCAACAAATTAAATTATTTTTATAATTACGTTTAATTAATATAATAAAGATAATATAGTAAAGAATAATATATAGTAAATGTTCTTCTTTATTACTAGTTAATCTAATTTAGTTAATTTAGTAATCTAATAATATTTTGATATTACCTTGTACATCTGATTCTTCCTGCGACGGTTTGGCATCGTTTAATTCCAAAATGTCGCTGATGGCAAAACCAGAAGTTCTGGCCGGCATTTTCATACTTTCCAGTAGCCTGTAACAAAAATTACATAACTGTTATAATTTTAGCCTCGAACAAATACTGTATATATAGATGGTGTTAAAGAAAAAATTTTGATATTTGTTATATAGAATTTTCATAAAAAATAAATTGGTTTGTAAAGATAACGTGCACTTGATTTTATACATCACGAATTTATGTGCACCTTTCGATTCGTAAGATTGTTAATTCAATCTTAGAGCTTGTTCACATGACAATACGTGCTTATTAAATCAGTTCTTCCTAATTTCTCGAGATACAGCGATGAATAGATTGATATGTTTCAGGTATTATGTCATACTTATCAGTAATTAATTAATATATTACATAATTTTAATTTTAATAAACGTATATATCGTATATTCATAACAAGTTTGAATGGAAGTCAAAGATAGGTGTATTTTGCGAGGATTCTGTGTTGAACAGTCAATACAAAGATCGCTCCTTGACGGTAAGATTTAATTTTCGAGATCGTCTGGTTTCGGAAGCTGTGTGACGGCCGTCAAAAAGCCACCAGCCTTTTCAGGATCCGATTAAAGAAATGTCTTTAAAGGTACAATACCTGAGCGCGTTTGACCACAATCAACCTGTCTTCGGACCTGTGTATAGAAGTAAATTTTTGGACCCACTTACTAAGCCATACGAGCCATTATCGAGTCACGTTCGGCTAGATGTTCCAATATATTTTCAGCACGAAATGCGGATGTTTCGAGTAACCTTTTTTGGAATCACACATTCTTTTACAGACTGCCGTTTGAAAATTTTGATAGATACAAGAAGTTTGCGACGGGTTGAGAGGATAATTATTTAATATAATTTTTTATTATGTTATAACTCGTTTCAATTTTCAGTTACGAACGTGATTTGAGCTACAACGACGGTTTTTATTTAACAGAGTTTTATAATAGAGAAACTTAATAAGTCTAATTTATTCATTTTTTTTAATATGCCATCTTGACTTAATTATGTAAAAATCAAATTAAAATATCAGAAAGATGATGCCGTTGAATTAAGGTTCTTATAAAGAGCCGATAATTATTTGGAAGTGCCAGCGTTGAAATCGCTCGTGATTTCAATCTCTTCTAATTATAATATTTTTTACATTATTTGAATCTTATCGTCAGAAAATCATTATGATTTTTGTCACTAAAGAGTTTCTCTTTACAATAGAATTTCAATTATCCAAATTAGAGAGATAATTCGGATAAACGATTGTGCCAAATAATCAGCCAACTACAAAAAAAGAATATATGAAGTTTGTATATGATATCTTATATTGTGTGATATGTTGTTTATTATACGATATTTATGAAGATAACAAGATAAAAATTATAAATAAACTTCTATATATTTGTAGGGGTTCCGAACTACTGATATTAGAATTATCAATAAAGTCCACAGATATATAAAGTCTAAACATAATGTATGCTTGGGCAAATTGACATAAATGTGAGTTTATTTTTGTTTCTTAGATTGTATTTGGATAATCTTAATGATAATAGCCATTGCTAAACATCGTTTGGACAAAGGATAGAGCGAGAATTATAGTAATGAACAAATATTATAGTAATAAAAGAACTATAAAATAAGTAATAGACCTCAAAATTTAAATTTTGAAGCAGAACTATTTTAATATAATACATGTTAAAAGTATTAGAAAAAAATACTTTTATTTGTCAAGATTTATAGTTCATAGTATTTAGATCAAACTATATAATTCTGATTCTTTCTCTCTCTCTCTCTCTCTCTCTCTCTTTCTCATGTATTGTATTTATATTATATTATGTAATATATTATATAAATTAAAATATTTAGGCTGTAATAAATTAAATGCAATTGAATTATATATTATCTCTTATATAGTCGTTGCATTGCTGAGAGTTTAATATACGTCTTGTCATGTAAACATAGAGTATTTAGTGGTGATTTTTTGGTATTGAGTGTATGTTTAATCAATAAGTGTTCTAGTATATAAGTATCAAGGATATCGAGAGCCAATCGGATATTCAACGATATCGCACGATAATAAGCAATATATCTTAATGAAGGCAATAAAGTCACGTGTAAGTACTCGAGGGTCGTAAAAATCCGTAAAGATATTAAAAAATGACATTACGTCGCATAAAGATATTTAAAAAATAACATTACGATCGACAAATCTAAGTTTTTTCAATTTATCTATTAGAAACTTGACTATTTCTTATACATTATTAAAATTTAATCACTATGGTATGTTCTTACAATCAATTATATAAAGAAATTGTTATTCATAATGATGTAATATATCTGATACGTGAAACGATTATCTATTATTGTTTTAAATTAAATAATTTTAGAAAAAAATTAAAAAAGTAAAAGGAACTAAAAACACATCAATCTTATATTTATTTTATTTACCTAGTGTTTAATGCGAGCTGACTGTACCAGACATGATTCAAAAGACTAGCCGAATACGGTAGTAACGGCCAAGGTAAAAGCTTATTCTTATCTGCCATTTTGAGAAGATTTTTTAATTTATGATTTTTATTTTTATTAGCGTCGATACATATTACACTTTTTAACGACAGCACATATTAAGGTTTAAAAAATCTCTTTTAATTCATCACGTATTTGTTTTTTAACCCCTGCTTTCTTTTCTTTTTCGACTGCTCAATAATCAGAAATTGAAATTAAGTTCTTTTCGTTTAATAATTTAAAAGATTTCTTCCTTCTATCTTTCTTTTTACTCCTTTATTTCATTTTTCTTCTTTCACCTTCACTCGTTTTGCATAATACGGATGAAAATTGAAATTTTTTTCTTCTATTTTCCACTTGTATAGATCTTTAATTTATAATTTACCTGTTCTTACTTCAAGAAAATTAACGGTTCATGTGTATTATATCTTTTCTATAGTACATTTCATTATTTCGGTCGGCTTGAGTAACTTTTATAGAGATCTGTCTGGTCTCTTCTATTTTTCCACGATTGCCGCTGCCCATGATATTTTCGGTTCTTTTTTTCTTCTTCACTTTCTTCTATCTTTGTCACACAACACTGTCATCTCTATTTTACCATAAATAACTGATTTTTCACACAATGGTAGTTCGGATATGTGCAACGAAAGTCTAGCACATATATCCGAATAATTAGTCCGATTAATCCAATCACCGATTCTTATGTCGTTTTTTCGAGACACTCGTCAATTATCGGTCACTAGCACAAATAACTATTAACGGATTACGCGAAAGGCAACTCTGCTCGAGTGGCACGAAAAGCAGGCTACCGATTCCTTTTCGGAGCTGCTGAAGGACTCTCCTTGTAGTTTTTGAGTGTCCTCGACGAGCACTTGACGGCTAGTGTTCCCTACCTCGAGCAGTTTCGCTTGTCAAGCACCCTCAAAGCGTAGGGCGGGTTCTACGTGGAGGCGGGGATTTCTCGTTCATCCCTCCAACTGGTTCTCCTCGTCGCGTATCCCACCCTGCCATCGACACCCGGCTGTAACTTGGGGAAGCTTTTTCACGGCAGAAGCGCCGAATAGAAGAATGTTTTTTTTTTATTGTTGTTATATTTAGAAGTCTCATTTAAAAAATAAATACAATGATAATAATATATTTCTGATGAAAAGTTCGATTGTTTTATCTTATTTAAACAGCAAGTACTAATTTATTAAAGTTAAACTGATATTTTTAAATGTGTAAAATAATTCATTTTTAACAATTACAAAGAAAGTAAAAAGTATTTGTAAATTTTTCAAGAGATGAACTGGTTTTATTACGACTATTTACAGAGATATCAGTAACTAAGAGTTCCTCACATATGAAAAAATTTAACTTTTTTAAATAGCACAACTTGATGTAATCTTTTCTCCAAAATATGATTTGATATGTAACTTTAGCAAATCGTTTGCTAACCAACTCTAAAAATTCTAAAAATATGTATCTCTATATTTTTTCATGGAAAACGTGCCATATTAATTTTTTACATATGTTAAAGTTTCACACTTGTGGTATTCTAGCAAAGTTTTGCCACTTTTAGCGATCTTAGGGAAGGATATCCCTTGCTCGGGAGACTCCGTGCGACTGGTAATGTTACGGGGGCAAGTTGCCGAGGGGTGGAACCGTCGGCCAACCAATGAGGTAGTCGCGTGTCGGGAAACCCTCGCCCGACAGCCCGGGGGTTGATTTCAATCCAGCTCGGCGAGCGAGCCAATCGCCGGGCTTCATCGATCAGGGGGCTTTTTACACCGAGAGCATACTTTACGTCGAGTGTTAATGTGAAAGAGCATTAGCGGTGCTTTTACCGTGTCATTTCGATTTTTCACTCGCGCCCCTTCCCTCTACCCCCGCCCTATTTTCTCCCTTTCCTCTCCGTCCCTCGTGGCACTCAGATCGCTGCCTATTGATACGTAAAACTGGGTTAGAAGCGTGGTCGCGACTTACGGGCGAGTGTTACACAAATGCGAATGAGATATATGTATGATCAATCAGCTCACTGTCCTCTTTTAGGGGCTTGTTTGCTTGAGTAAAAAACCGGAGGGTGTCAATTCGAGTATAATTGAAGGGACAAGAAACTAAGAGAAGTATATGCTTATAATTTTATGAAAACTGAGATATTCCCGCAATAAGATATCGTATACATTATTAATTTAATAATACGATAGGTAACTAATATTAAATAAAATCTTATAAATTCTCTGGAATTAAACTTCCTATAAATTCGACAGTTCTCCATACAGCACAGAACTTGCAGTAACATTGTTGCGACGTTTGCTTGATACTGTAATATTGCTGCAGTATTGCTGGAATGTATGGAAATCCTGTGCTGTATGGAAATCACCTGTCATCTTTGCCAGATATGTATTTACTAAGTTTAGTAATCATACTGAGCGAATTTTATTCTTTCAATTGTGATTCTTTCAGGCACTAAAGTAAGAAATTTCAATAAAAAATGCGAAATCAAATTGAAGATGCCAATCTAAACCTGTAAAGTCGAAGAAGTAAATCGATGAAGTAGT